TCGCAGCCCCCTCCTCCCTCCCCAGCCTCTCTCTCTCTCTCTCCAGACCAGCCCAGGAGCTGCACTTTAACTGGGAAAGATGGGGGCTGGACAGACAAGCACCCCGGTGGAGAACAGTGCTGCACCCCAACTCCGTACCCTGCACGCACGGCCGGGCAGCGCTGGGGGGGTCCGCGGGCTGCGGGACATGCGGCTGCAGCTTTGCACCAGGCTCGAGCCCCGGCAGCTGATGCCAGCCCTGTCCCGCGCCCCTGCGTCATGGGGATGCTCGTGATGAGGCGAGGGTTTGCAGGGCACCCGAGAGTCTCAGAGATGCACAAAGCAAAGGGAGCAGAGCGAGGGGAGTCCCGGTGGGGTTGCAGGTGCCACCGAAGCTCGTTAGCAGCAGGAGATGCTCATGCAGGTTAGGGCAGCCCCCACTCCTGGCCCTGCCACGGCTCTCAGCAGCCCCACAAGAGTGTCCCAGCCCCCTGCCCTCCCGCTCGGCACAGGTGACACGGTCAGTGTCACCCAACCGATCCCTGGTAGCGTCTCCGTGGTGGTCCTTTGCTTTGGAAAGCCCCTGGGACTTGAAAGAGCACCCTCAGCACAAGCTGGACCTGAACCCCCATCCCACCCCGTGACAGCCCCTAAATGCCACCTAAGGAGGAGCCACTAGCGGGGGCACGCACAGGTGGGACGTGGCATCCTCCAGCACCGGTGACACCCCCCCCGCCTGTCACCAACCGCACAGGGGACCGCAGCCACCTCCGCACAGCAACGAAAAGAGGAAGCAAAACCTCCGGCACACCATGGCCCTGCAGCCTCCCATCCCAGCACCCCTGAGTGGACCTGAAGACCTTCAAAACCACAAACCGGGAGCGGCCAGGTCCAACCAGAAAACAGACCGCAGGATGGAGCAACCCCCGGCACCCCGTCCCGCGTCTCCCCCCAGCACCGGCGACCTGGCAGGGCCCCCCGCGGCTGTGACATCCTCCAAGCCAACACACCAACCTCCAGCCACGAGCATGCAGTGCTCCTCTGCAGCCATGCACCCGAAATCCCATCCTGCTGCCCCCCCCCCC